TGTAGCTAAATGAGAGCCAGCTATGGGACACGCTGCTAAACAGGCCAGTGGTATCGTGTGCTCCCTTAGTGGTCCTGCTCTACTTTGGCCCAGTCAGATCCCATTTGGGGCATGCCTTCCGCTCTGGACACCACAGTTTGGACTGGAGCAAGGTCAGAGGAAGGCTACCCCGATGGCAATGGGCTTGCAAGCCAAGCCCCGTGAGGAACGGCTGAAAGACCTGGGTATGCTCGGCTTGCAGAAAAGATGCCTTCACATTTCTGAAGGACCATCCTTCAGAGGGAGGGAGTGAGGCCATTCTCTCTCACCCCAGAGGGCAGAACCAGAACCTGTGGGTTAAAACTGCAGGGATGTAGCTTCCGACAACATATTGGGAAGGAACCTCCTAATTATACAGGCTGTCAGCCAGTGGAACAGGCTGCCACAAAAGTCATCAGTTCTCCTTGACTGGAGATCTTCACACAGCAGCTGGATTATCAGGGATGCTGCAGTGGCTCCTGAACAGAGGGTGGACTAAATGACTTCTACGATCTCTTTTGATTCGAGGACCAGGGGAGGAGATGTAGAGCAGATAAAAGAAGCATTTACGTACACAACACACCATTAACCTGCAGTATTCATTACCACCATATGTGGTAACGGTCACTAACCTGCAGATTTTAAAGGTGATGGCATAAATCAATAGGCGGCTGTTAATATTGAAGACTCCATGTTACCTCAGTGTTGCAGGACAAATGGCAGGAGAGAATACATTTCCACCTCCTGCTTGTCAGCCCCCAAGAAACTGGGAGAAACAAAGGGCCAGGCTGAGCTGGGCTTTGACCAGGCCCAGCAGCCTCTTCCTGTGGCCACCCCCCTCCCCTACAATCTTTAAAGCTACAAAAAGCGCATTTCACAAACGATGCTCTGTATCCTGATGCTCTGTATCCTCGTAGCTCTTGCACTTCCTCAGAGACCGGAATTCCTTGAAGCTTATCCAGGCAGCTGCAATAGCTAAGAACAGCATACCTATATTATGCCTCCTGTCCCTGGAGGACCATCCAAAGTGGGGCGTTAGTGGCCACTTAGAGGAACAAAGCAACAAGACTGGTTGCAGGGAAGGAACCGGGGGAGTTCAGCAGGAAGAAGAGAGGAGAATGAGTAGAGAAACTCTGTATTCCGATGGACTGTGTGCTTAGGCGCAAGAGTGACAATACAGTCATCTTCTAAAGAGCTGCTGATAGCAAAAGGAGTTTCCCGAGAGCTGCTGAGTGAGCACCCATTGTGGGTGATTTAAGTCACTGCTTCTGCTGAGTAAGCAGAGACTGCAAGACAATGGACTATAAGGCAGCCAAATTCAAGGGATAGAGTGAATAGAAGAATTTACAGGAATGTGGCAGGCATGCTTAAGGGAGGGATTGCCAACCAATTTTCCCTTTAACTCAAACATTTGTAATTTGGTTAATCTAAAAAGTTGAAAAGAGAAGAGGAAATGTAAGAAACTTGGTGATATCTTAAGAAACAAAAGCGAAGATGGAAGGATGGGGCCTGCAATTGTGAGCTGACATGCTTCTGGCGTGCACGTCTTTTTGTCAGCAAACAACTTGGTATACATTTCTATCAAGTGCAACTTCCTAAGAAAGGATGAAGAAAGAGGACTCTACACAGAAACTTACAGGATTTCCCAGGAGGCTTTGATTAACAAGTTAATTAAGTGTGATCTGGCTTGACAAGTGGATATGTAATAAAATGTCCCTATTAGGCAGTTTAAAATAAATAAAAAAATAAAATTAAATGACACAAAGTTTTGTCCCGGGCCTTCTACTCATCAGTACTTTTTTTAATGACTTGAATGAAGAGGAGAAGATGAGGCTTATCAAATCTGCAGATGACACAACAATGGGTGGGATAGCTAATAACTAAGAGACAGAAATAAATATAAAATGCATAGGTTAGAGAAATGGGATGAGAGTAACAAAGATGTTCTTCACTCAGGCAATAGAAATCAAATGCACAGATAGAGGACAGAAGCAGTAGTGAAAAAGATCTTGAAATAGGAGTGGATTGCAGACTGAATTTGAGCCTGGATTGTGACATGGCTGCAAAAAAGGCAATATAATTTCCAAATTATAGGAAGCAATTAGTCCACTTTATTCTGCTTTGGTTTGACCCCATCTTGAATATGGTGCTCAGTTCTGAGTAACATACTAAGAAGGATTAAGAGAAACTGAACAAGTTAAGAGGAAGATTGATGGTGATGATGATCAGATGACTAGAAACTATGTTCTATGAGAAGAGACTGAAGAAATTGGGAAGGCTTTCCCTTGAGAAGAGTAAGCGGGAATTTGACAGCATTCTGCAAATATCTATGCTCGCAGAAGGAGACTCTGACCTGTATTCCACCTTCCCAGAATCCAAGCCACGATATAAAGGTTTTCAAGAAGGCATATTCCGACTGAATACTAGAAAAAACTGCCAAAGAGCAGCTAAACAGTGAAGCCAAATGACACGGGGGGGGGGGGGGGCCCCCCCT